CGTCTCAGCCGTGTGGAGGAGAAGGCGGGCCCGGCAGGGTCTGTGGGGGGGCGCGCTGGCCGCGCTCGCCTTCGCCCTCGTCCCCGCGTTACCGAAAGCGTTCGCTCTCACCCGGCGGCTTTTGGAAGCGACTCTGCGCCCGTGAAGGGGGCCCGCTCCCGAGGTTTCGCACCTTGCTAAGCACCCGGGGGCTGCCAGGCAGGTGGCAGCCGTGAGGAACGGCGTGAGTCCCTCCCTGCTTGACGTGAGCTGTTTCCCGCTAACCCACAGCATGAGGGCAGCCGGCAGCCTGACCTTGCCTCGTGATCCTTTTCGTTGAAGCCCTGTAACAGATTGAACTGCAGTCGCAAGCACAGCTCCCCACGCACGGATGCAAATGGCAGTACTGATCAAACGCTGTAAGCCAGTGCGTACAGCAGTAAGTCACGGCTTCTGGAGACGAGTTGCTTTTGTAATGGTTTGTTCTTGGTTTCATCATGAAAGGCTATTTTAAAAGTTATTGTGATCTAACTCTAAACACATGAAGAGGCTTGACTTCACGGGTAACTGGTTTTGAGAGTCAGTTATCTTTAGCGTGAATTAAGCATGCGTGACCAAGCCCGGAGGCAATAAACTTGCAATAGAATTTTTCTGCTAATAGCTTCTGTTTATTCGTATCTTTTTTTTGCTGCAGGTAAATGTGTTTAGGATAATATGTTAATTCTAAACAGCAGTACGATCGCCAGACTTTTCAAAATTGCCTGCCATTCATTTAAATGAACGAATTCCCTTGAAAGCTAGAAAATAAGTTGGCATCTATAAAAAAGCCGTTTTGTACCAGTAGTTCTTCTGTTAGATTATTTTCAATATTTCTCATTTTACAATGCCCACATCAGCGATACCACAGAATCACAGAATAGTAGGGGTTGGAAGGGACCTCTGTGGGTCATCTAGTCCAACCCTCCTGCCGAAGCAGGGTCACCTACAGCAGGCCGCACAGGACCTTGTCCAGGCGGGTCTTAAATATCTCCAGAGAAGGAGACTCCACAACCTCCCTGGGCAGCCTGTTCCAGTGCTCTGTCACCCTCAGAGGGAAGAAGTTCTTCCTCATGTTCAGATGGAACTTCCTGTGCTTCTGTTTGTGCCCACTGCCCCTTGTCCTGTCACTGGGCACCACTGAAAAGAGCTTGGCCCCATCCTCCTGACACCCACCCTTCAGATATTTATAAGCATTTATCAGGTCCCCTTGCAGCCTTCTCTTCTTCAGGCTGAACAAGCCCAGCTCCCTCAGCCTCTCCTCGTAGGGGAGATGTTCCAGTCCCCTCACCATCCTCATAGCCCTCCGCTGGACTCTCTCCAGTAGCTCTTCATCTTTCTTGAACTGGGATACCCCACTGTTTTGACATTGCCTTACACCTAGCTCTCTTCTTTTGAGGAAAAAAAGTGAACTGACGTCTATTTTTTTGTCAATATGTTTCCTTCACAATCTGGAATCTCTCAGACTGCATGAAGATGTGAATATTTGTGAAATAAGCCGTTGGATGACTGTTTTGCCAAAGCAATGGCTTCTCAAGAATTTACCGTAAGTGATTTTTAACACTGTGTACAACTAAGTAGAAATAAATTAAAAGACGCTGTAGCTGCTGTATTAATTAAACATTTTCTTACTTATTATTGTGTCAACATTTTACACATTTAAAACAGGTACTATACACTCACCAAAAAATGAAAAAATCAAAAACATGGCAAGATGGAATTCTGAGGATTAGAACTGGCAGCAATAAGGTGAACAACTCAGATTTAATGCCGTTGCATTTAATGTCATCTGCTACTGGTGGACTGTCAGTGGCAATCTAGTCGATGTGTGAAATAAAATTGGTTACTTAAAATTCTGTTTTTTCATTGCAGGCTATCTTGTTTGATGATAAAGGACAATGTTTGGAGAGTATTTTTATAAAATCTCAGGTATATTTTGTTTGGAGAGGTTTTTTTTAATTTTTTTTATGCTTGATTGTGGTTTGTGTTTCAGGAGGCATTTCCAGCTCCTGTTTGTTAACTAAGGCAGTGCTTGTTCCTCTTGTGCATGTGAACATCTGCTGCAATGCAAATAGTGGAAAGCGAAAACAGCTTATATTTATTGATAAGTTGTGTTGTTTTTCCAGAACCAATGTAGAGGTTTTTTTGAATTTTATTAATTTTGGGTAAAAGCAGTGTATGATAATGTTATATTAAATAAGCATAACTTGAAGCTAAGTGCTAATGCTTTCCAGTATATGTATATTTTAATCTATGTACCTATGTGGCAGCTGTGATATACTGTGTGTAAATTCCTGAAATTTTATGTATGAGAATTTAGAAGAGTATATTTATTTAGAAGACTGTTATTGTTTCTTATATAGCACTATTATGTACACACTGCTGCTCTCTCTTTTCTAGGTGAATGCTGGAGATAATTTAGAAAGTGAACGATATTTGATCACAGTTGAAGCAGTAAAAGTGAATGAAAAATCTTTTGAAGATCAGCCAAGGAGATCAGAAACTCCAGCAGTGGACAGAAATGGTGTAAAACCTGGTGTTCTGCCTCCAAGACATCTGTCTGTCGGCTTGAAGAGGAAGTTTACAGTATGTCTTTATTTCAAAAGTTATGTCTGATGTTAACATGCATTTTAAAACACAAAGGGCACATCTTTTAATGAATGGTAGATATATAGATAATGTCTTCCTGGTTTTTTGGAACTCCAAGCTAGATTGTTACCCGCAGCTTTTTTTTTCCAGAGTTTACTAAATCTGTTTAGTTTAGCAGGGTTGCTGTTCTCAAGGCTGCAGTGAAAATAGCAAGGGCGTGAGATTATTTCTATACACCTGTGAAATCATCATGTGCTACTTAATCAGAATATATTTTATGGAGTGTGCCCTATTTTTGACATTTAATTACAAAATTTGAAGTTGATTTCTGAGTAGAATTAAATTTAAAATTTATCTCCTAGGGTTTCCAAGGACCACGCCAAGTTGGAAAGAAAATATCAATGATGGAGGATGGAGAAAACCCAACAATGTTGCCTTTATCTAAGCAGTGTCAGGGTACTCTTCCATCCAAGTTTTATATTACCTCTCCATTATTTTCTACGATTTGCAAGAAGGATGCAGAAATAAATCTGCCTGCAGACTTTCATGAAGATGTGTGTACGGGTAATGATAGAGAACACATGTCTCTCTCCTCACTGCTTTCAGTTCCGCTTCTTGACAGATGCAAGGAGACAGAGAAGCAAAACTCTGATCAGTCCGTTGTGAGGCCAGAATCTCCTCTAATTACTAGCCACACCAAATCTCGTAGTCAGACAGCCGCTGACGGGGCAGTGTCACAGAACATCAGGAGCACAGCACAGATAATAGCTCTTTTAAAGTCTAAACCAACGCGAGGATGCAGAGAGCAAACAGCATCTGAAGTCACAGAATGTCCTTCTAGGTTTTGGGCATCAGAAAACACGGATAGTTTATACAAGAGCAAAAGCACAATACTACCTGCTTTTTCAGGCAACCCTGCCAAAAGACTCATTCAAAATATTCAGCACCTGCCTTTTGCAAAGGGAACTGTAAATGATAAAAAGGAATGGAATGCTGAAATACTTCTAAAAGCTGAACAACCTTGTGATAAAGAAGTTGCAGGACAGAGACATCACAAAAAGGCAAATAATTTAAGTCAAGATATACAAGATCCCTGCAATACAAATTGTTCCTTCCTACCTGAATCCACCATAAGTAGAATGAGTGACAGTCAGTTTGCCACATCCTTGGGTGACGTTTCATGTTTGGCAAGTCCAATCACCTTTGAAAAAAATCTCCCCGGATACAGGGAGCATTCGGTGACTAACGGTCTTAAGGAGAATTCATCTGTGAAGTTGCAAAGCAACCTTCAGCCACGACAAAATTCAGAAAGAGTGCCTAGTGACCTGGAACGCTCTGTGGACATAACATTGGCTGAAATTGGAATTGTAAAGGAGGAATTAAGTACACGTGGCAAAGACTATGGTCCAGATGAACAGGTGTTGGAGGTTAACTTCAATCTAATGGAGGCTTTTGATTTTAATGACACGGACAATGAAGACCTGTGTGAAAGAGGTGTGAATCAGCTCAGTGAAGGAGACGTGCTTTCACAAAGTCCAGATTGCTTAAAGGGAGAAGATGTAGCACAAAATAGTGCATTGAGGCTTCCTGCTTGCTGTGAAGTAGTGACACACAGTAGAAGCGAAGTTGGATGTTCAACATTTGACGGTGAGAATGATGGAAGTCACAGCACTGGGGGTATACCATCGCAGCTTTGTGATAACAATGTCAGAGATACAGGGGGAATTGCAGAAGACTCTGCAAACCAGACCAGAATTGAAGTGGAACTTCTGGGTGATGGACACAACATAAAAGAGATTAATGAAAGTCAGTTAAGTATTGAAGGCCCAAACAGTGAGAAGGCTCTTGATGGCTGTGCAGCGCATACCGTTAACGAAATGTCATGGACAAAAACTGAGCACTCTGATCTTTTGCCTCGTGACACAGATGTTACTGAATGTCACCCTAAAGCTAGAATGTTTGAGAAAACTGAAAGTATTTCATGTATTTCTACCAGCAGAATAATTTCTGCAATGGACAAAAGGACTGAAGAAGATGTTACACAGCATGGATGCATGAAATCCCCAGATGTTGGTTTAAAACACTGCTGGGGCACCAAGAGTGATGACATTAAAGCAGATAGTCCTTTGCTGGCTTTGTCACGAAAATCAGATCCTAGCTATGGCTCGTTCCAATATATTGCAGAAGACCATCAAAAGGTACTCGGCATTTCATATAAGGAAGATACCCTCATTTCCAGAAGTTCTGTCTGTCCTTTAGGGAAAAGCTGTTCATCTCCAGAGGAAACAGCAATAGGTGAAACTGAGTTTGAAAATGTAGAGTGCATGAATGCTTTTCATGAAGCCTGCAAAGGAGAAAGAATAGAAATGGATTGCCTGAAATACATGGCAATGACTGAAAATTCATCAGATCTTCCTGATTTGGTAAACAATATCGCTCTTTTAAGAGCTTTGACTCAACATAGCACGGCATTAGAAAGCTTACAAAAGATGGAGGAAAATAATAGCATATTATATGAAGCAGAGACTTCTAAAGAGATATTTGAACCCCTTGTGAAAGATGAAGGTTAGGTCAGCTTCTAATTTAAAGTGAATTCTGTATGACTGTACCTATTTGACTTTTACACTCTTATCTTTCCTGCTGGACAATTCATACTCAGAAATCATACTTTTGGAGTGATGCGTTACAAAGGTTTCTTCATGCAATTTTTAGTGTTTAAAGTAACAATGTGGGCTCCTAACTGTGCAATCCTAACTGTGCAATTATTTCCATGGGTGAAGTTTGCAAGCCTAGTAAACAGTCAGACGTTTTCATGTGAAAATAATACGTAACATTATGCTTTTCCATCTCTTGTAGCTATAAAACAGTTTACAGAAATGCCTTACTCAGAAAGTATACAGGCATCTTCCTGTTCATACTTTGATTCTTCTGACCTTATGGTAACCAATTTTTGACTACGTATAGCTATCTGTACAAGATAAATTAATTTTCCACCAGGCTTCTTGAATAAAATTCCTAGTTTGTAAAACTATGGAGGTTGAGATAAAAATTGCTTAGAAGCATCAACTAAGAAGCTGATAGTAAACAGAAGATGTGCTCTTGCAAACCCTATTGCCAGTAAATGTTTAGGAGGCTAAATGTATGACAAGAAACTTAATGCAAATTGTAGTATTGAGTATGTCTGGTTCTTCTTCCCTACCCCATCTTTTACCATCTGTTTTTTCTTTTCTTTGACTATCTTTTTGAATGCATGGCTTTCCTAGGAATTTTAGCACTTGAGTTGAAATGTACTGGCAAATCTGTTTGTGCTTGATGCTTCGCATTGATTTTTTTTTTGTTCAATGCTATTAATAGTCTTTTGCTTTCAGCCTGTCCAAAGGGAAAGAACGATTTTAGATTAAATTCTTCTGGTTTTGCTGTCCTATTTGAAAAGCAAACACAGTTTCTTACCCTATCATGGATTGTTCTGGCTTCTAAATAAAAAGGCTGTGATTTTAAAATGCTTTCTCTTGCTTAAATACAATAGATTTCTTAGCCTAACTTTTCACTTTAAATGGTTATTAAATTGTTAGACTAGTTAGCTTTTGATAGTTTTATATGCAGTCCAACAGTGTGGACAATTTATTACAGAAAACAGAGGCATGTATTCTACCAATAACAGCAGCCCAAAGAGACCCTAGGACAGCTGACTGCCAACCAAAGGTATAATTTCTGTGGAATTGAAGTATAATGAATAGGTGTTTCTTAAATTTCAGTTCAATGATTTACTATTTGCAATATATTACAGGAAGCCCTAATAAACATTTAACCGGTCTCATGACGGACTTCTCATCACTTTTTAGTTTGTCTGTGGGAAGTTTTCCATTGAGAGTTTTAAACTCGGATTTTACAATACAAAAATAAGACTAAACATACTACATTAGAATATCAATTTTCTGTTGACAGACTTGTGCAAAAACTTTATTGCTGCTGAACTGCAGGAGTGCACGAAAGAAAAAAGCATAGATTTTTTTTCTCTTCGGCAGTTTCCAGCAGATGATTTTTGTTGTATATATGACAAGTACTTTATCAACTGTAGATACTTCCAGAACAGTACTTATTTTCAGTTAATGATAATTCCAATGTATTGCGTAGCCTGTTGCGTTTCAAGGGCACCAAGTAAAGGGATCAGCAGCTAGTGAGATAATGTTGAGAGCTCCCTGCTCACAGCTAGGATGGCAGCAGAACCCAGTTAATATGGAGTTGGCAGCTGAGAAATTTTTGTCACCCCTGTTTTCAAGCAGTTACATTTTTTCTGACTTCAGACAGGTAAAACATTTTTTTCAAAGCTATTTTATTTCAAAGTTATTTTTAAGGTCCAAGAAAGTATCCTGTAAATGTAGGATAAAAGAGAGTTCATTTTTAGAATACTACAATCATATCAAAATCACTAAGAGCCAAACATAGTGCTTTGTGGTTAAAACTTTGCAGTTAGACAATTATTTTCACTCATCTTTGTCATAGGAGTATGCATTTGCAAGATGTAATTTAGTTTTCTTCCTCTGATCAGTTTCCGTTAGAAAAATGTGTATGTGTGATATTAAACAGAGATTTTTTTGTGGAGAAAAGTGGCAGAGAGTTTTATAATGATTGTTTCCTGGTATTAGCATATAATCACCTCAACTGCTTTTGAAATTTGGTATATAATTGTTAGAGAGTTCCAAAGTAAGGGTTAAAACTTTCTTTCTTGGATTATTATTCTGTTCCCTCTGGATGCAAAGAAACATGACACGCAATGTTAAATAATTTTTTTTTTCTAATGCATTATATATTTGAAAATAATGGAATAAAACTGATATTTCATTTTTTACTTCCTGAAAGGGCTAGAGATAATGAAGAATTATATCTAGAAATAAGATTTTAAAATAAGATATTTAGAAATGACTTACACAAAAATAATATTTATATAGAGGATAAACAGTTTAACTTCTAATAAGTTTTTGATTATATTTTTTTGGTAAAGTCTCCAGGTTCAAGAAGTCTTCATGAGGATGATATCAACTTTATCAGAGAAGACAAGTTTCAAAAGAAGTCTAACATTATTAAAGAATCGAGAGCAGATCAGTCCTGTAAGTGAAAGTAAAAGTCAAACGGCAGCGATTTGCCTCAGAACAATTACTCTTCATGACTTCTGTCCTTCACATATTTTTCCTAGCATTGGCACTGAATGTGTATCCTGAAGTTCCACCATGGGCAATGTCAGGCTCACCTTCACATTCTGATTTGAGGCAATCACAGTGGACTTCATGGGAGCCTGGCAAGGTGTGAATTGACTGTCTCTTCTAGATCTTTTTGACTTTATTTCCTGTGTGTTCATGGTAGCAATTTCTTATTTGTGAAACTGATTCATCTCAACTCTGAAAGACAATTTCAATTGTTAAGAATGATGAGAGAGAGAATAGTGACAAAAGAGCTAGAGTCAAGTTTTTTTTCCAGTCATTCACTTGACATGTTAATTCTTCACCTGTAGATGATTCCATCAGTAGAACTGACTTCCTCACTTGATCCAGACTCTACAGTTTCTCCAGCTTCAGGAAGTGAGGAAACTATTGGAGACATCCAGGAGCCACTGATACGCAGGATCTTGCAAAGTGAATCAGAACTTTCAGAAATTTTTTTCAGTAAGAAATTACAGTTTATAATTGCACTTTACAATATTTTTGCTAGAAAATCTTTGAGGATTTTTGAAGCATAGTGAGTTCCACTATAACAGACAGTTATCCTGGGTGCTGAAATACACCGAGGTATGTCTGGGTTTGGTTTATGTTTGTTATACATTTTTCTGTGGAGGTGTGTCACTATTTAAAGCACAATTTCAAACTGTTTTCCAAATCAGCTGAATTAGCCTTGAATTCCATGGCTCTCCCCCTGCAGTTATATTCTTCTGAAAGAGACTTCAGTAGAATGATTTAATTTTATAAAGAAACATTGGCTTCTAGTTTGGAGGAAAAGAGGGCTGTAAGCTAAGCTTCTAATTCATACTAATGTTTTAATTTATTTACTTGCTTTTAGTTTTCTTCCATATTCACTTGTCCTCTGACCCACTTGCAGCTGACACTTATCAGTGACTGTCATTTCTTATGGATAGTGAATTTAGTCGAAAGCATGCTTGTGGTACTAGAAGCCTATTTATCTACATTGGTTAATATTAATTTACACGGTTTTGTGGGTGATCTTTTTGGAAAAAGGAGCAAATGTTGTTTGTCTTCCAGCTGGCAGCTGTCACTGACCTACCAAGAATATCAGATTAATGACTTCCAAAACACAATAATGTCTAAATAATTTCTACCAAACACTTTATTTTTTACGAGTAGAGTGCCTACAAAAATGTGTTCTGAATATGGGATTTAACTATTAAAGGAATCACAGTTGAAATCACTTATGTCATATGGAAATTTAGTGTAGTACTGCACCACACTACGATACGAAGAGCTTGCCAATTAGAAGACAGGATGTAAAAGGAAGAACTTGGAATTCTCCCCTTATCTTAGTTTTTTGTACATCTGAAGTTAACATGCCATGCGTAAGCGTTAAAAGTTGCTTGTAAGATATATTTGCCCTACAGCACAGGAGAAATCCAGCTATCCAGAGGAATGCATCCCCTCAAGAGTCAAACCCACAGTTAAAACACGAACTCCCTTTGTCACTCTTCCTGCCACGGAGAAGTTTCCTGATGTGGTTTGTCCAGCTGACAGTGAAGAGGTCCAGCAACCTTTCAGCTCTTCAGTAGTCCATTTAGGCAACAAGTCAGCAATATTTCCTATTAGTGCTTTTGGCCCTGAGGACAGAAATTATGAAACCTCTGTGTTTGGAGAGTATACGGAAGGCAGACAAAGGGAATCCATACAGCCAGCGTTCCCTAATGTGACTTCACACTATAGACAAAGCAAGTGGCTAAAATACCAAAACAGTGCTCAGTGTGACTTGATAACTCAAAACAGCGACAGTGGGGAAGCGGACGATGACATCTGTGCTGAGAACGTCCTTGGAATGCTGCTGGGTGACACAGGAGAGAGCAGCACTGTGAATAAAAGCGCTCCTGGCTCTCCACCTCTACTGACAGCAAAGAGCATGCTTGGTAAATGCTGTGGAAATACCAGCAACCAAGATTTGATTTCAGAGAGGAAGTTACTTTCTCTGCACTTCAGTCAGACACCTTTGGCTGAAGCTACACAAAAGGTGTTAAGTCATCTGAGCTGCCACACTGTAACAGGAGACGGCCAGGTGTGTAACTGTTCAAGCAAATACAGTTATAAGTGACAGAAACACATTTTTCTGGACAAAGTAACTGCTTCTGTCTGATTTCCTGCAAGATGCTATCAGTATGATTGGGTGAAAGGTTTCTACATCAGTCTCAGCTACAGAACAGCAGCTGCTAATGTGTTTTTTTAAGTGCTGTGACTAATCCTTTGTAAAGGTAATTCCTTGGTGCACACAGTGCCAGATTTAGATTTTCAATCTGAATGTTAATGGCAGGAAGATGAAATAAAAGCCGTTGGGCTGTTTTGTCATCTACAATTGATAAGAATGTGATTTCAAGAAGAGTTCTTCTTAACTGTGAAATCAGCGTCCTTTTAATGAACACCCATATCTTGCTTCAAAGCATAGTCTCTGATTTTGAAATATTTTAAACTTCTTCAGTTTTAATTGTGGAAAAGTAAGTTATGGCATTGAACAAGCACCTAAAAAATTAGCACAACTGTTTGTGACCAGCAGACTGTCTGAAACAAATGGAGTAAATTGGAAAAAAACTCAACCCAAGCACAAGTCCAGTTTTAGAAGTTGTCAAATGGCTACATTTGAGAGTTAATGAAAGTGTTAGATTTTTTTCTTTTTATCTTTTTTTTTTTTACTCGGACTTGGTGTGCTGTGTGTTCTCGTTCTTTAAAGCTGTTTGTACAGTAAAATGTTCATGGGAAATAGAGGTGTGGAAATAGCTGTTACATTTCATATACACACTGGTATACACTTTGTGTGTGCATGTGTATATATATAATCCATATGTATAGGATTTTTAAAAGCTTATGAAGAGAGTTATCATTACGATGCCCACTGCAGTGTAGATAGGTGGAAGAAGTTCGTCAGGACTAGCTGGGATGGCAGGCACAGGGATAGCTTGTAGTATGCGCACTTTCCCCAGAGCTCTCTAGCCTGGTGCCTCCTTCTCGAGCCTGTACGACCTTTGCTATAGTTTCATCTGATGGATTTGTGTCTGTGAAGAGATGGTGTTAAAAATGGGGTTTGTGTGCTCCTTCTGGGGCTGAAAACATGCTTCTGAACTACATCATTTACTCTAAAGCCTTTGAAAGTATTACCTGTGTTATTGCAAATGCAGGTTGTTTGTCAAGGGGCAAATTTTAACTTCATGTGACATCCTAAATGGCAGTCCAAGCTCTCTGCTGTAGCTTTGGGTCTACTCAATTTTACTCCCCTTGGCATGCTTCTCTGCTTACAGTTAACAAAGTCTGCACACAGTTGGTGAGGGGGATTTGTGTTTTGCTTTTAGAAAACTGATTCTTCATTGACAGTCTTCATCTTGAAATTCTGGTTGCAGAATGAGGCTCTGAATTTTTTGTATTTAGTTGTACTTATTAATGAGAGCACAATATATAAAAACTAAAAATGAAAAAGAGAAGAAAAATTGATAGGTTTTGGCATGTCTGTACAGTAGCCATTTATCAGAATTTGTCTCATTCAAGGTTTTGCACATTTTAATGGTTTATTTTTCTGTTTTTTAGGATGTAACGATTTCTGAGTTGTCTTTTCCTAATGTGGATAAAGTAAAATATGCTAATCTTCCTAAAAGAAAGATTTCCATACCAACTGTGTTTCAGTCTTATGTTCACTACAAACAGATTTTTAGAGCTGCTCTGACAGGTGAGTTTAACACCACGCTATGTAAAATGCTGTCATTTTTAAACTGTGTATTTCTGAAGCTTCACAAAGCAGGGTGAGAGGTCATCAATATAATCTGTTGGAACATCAGTGTACATTTGGGTTTGGATATATCTACTGAAATATATTGTCTATACCCAAAACTGCAAAGACAAACCAAAAGACCAGTACACTTCTGTTTGACGGTGTAGCCTTGTGCCTGTTTACCAGTGTTTAGATTACTATCTAACTTTTTTTTTTAATGTACAGTTATTTAGTGTTTGGAGTCATATACTTACATGTGATTTGAATGAAAGTAAGGCAGTTAAAACAAAGGAATTTCACGTGCAATACGTGAATTTTGCAGGTCACATGGTTTCTTTTAGGACTCTAATTATTTTGATTTAGGTTTGGGATTGAAAGTTTTAAATTAAAATATATTTGTTTGAATGTTGTGTGTTTGTGTAACCATTTTAAGGCTGTGCTAATTATTCTTTTATTCTCCTTTCTATGTCAAGAGCAATTAAACATAATGCTATTTGAGTTGTCACAAAGATTACACAATGCTCTTTCAAAAGTGGATATATCTTTTTACACTTCATTGAAAGATGGGCAAAGTGAGAGCAAAGCAAGCTGCGTTCCGCTCTGCAATCATATGCATCCTGCTAAGCTTGTTATGGTTAAAAAAGAAGGTCAAAACAAGGTGCTGTTTATTCCTTGTTTGTTTACAGTTTGGGGTGTTTGTTTGGCATATAGACTGTATTCTGTGAAAAATTACAGGGTAATTCTGTATTATATGTAATTGCGTGTTAAAGTGATATGTTATAGAAATCACTTGTAAGATCAGTTATAGTATCTACTAGTGTCCTGAATTGTTGATGTAATTGTTCTCTCCATACAGAAACAGCTTCATTATATGTAGAGAGAAAGACCTGAACTTGTAATTTTCTAGGTTATGTGGGGTTTTTGTAAGGTATGGTTACCCACACTGGCTTCAGAAGCTGAGAGTTCTGGCAACACACTTGTGGTTTTCAGCCAAACATAGTGAAAACACAGGTGTTTAACTGATTATTTCTATAGCAGCAATTACTGGTCCATTGCTTTATTTTTTTTTCACTTGTTTGTTTTAATGTGCTAATGTTATTTTTTTCCCCCCTCCTTTCTTAGGGTCGCTTGTTCTATGCCTGTGATGCCCCAAAAGCTGAGCAGTGTTCATTCTTCAAGTGGATAGAAGACATTAACCCCGCGCAGATAAAATCGACACCTAGTGTAGTGCTTCATGATATAAAAAGTATTGGGACATACCTCAGAAGTCAAAAGATTTCTCTCTATGAGGGATGCCAGCTTTTGGTGAGGTATTCTGAAACGCTATGCACTTTTCACAAGTGCCATGTAAATTGCAGGATTTATAAATATTCCAGTAACTCTGGATTTCAATAGCATTTAACAGACACTTTCACTAACTATGTTTAAAGAAGCTACGGTTCTGTGTAGAAATGTAAAAGCCAAATTAGTGAAGGAACAATATTCACAGCAGTGACATTTTGGGTCGGGACTCTTTTCAGCAAGAATCAAAACTGCTTACCAGCAACTTGGTCAATTGCTTAATGAAATCCCAAATGATTCTTGCATTTGAATTGTTGTTCATTTAATATTTTGTAAGAGAGTTTGGGACAGACTTTGATTTCTTCTCACAGTGATTCTAGTTTTAATGTTAGAAGTTGTATCAAACACTACTAGGCCCTGCTTAACTGTAGGGGAAATAATTTAATTACACCTGAATACGAGAAAAGTATTTTGCAGTCAAGACAAATCTATTTAAAACTTGGTAATGTAAGGTGATGAACAACTACCAGGATCTGTGCTGTATAATTCAGTCCAGTCTGTGGAGCTTTCCTGGTTTTGGTGGTGAATCCAAAATGTGCCAGTTGTTTACATACTTTTTCTTGAAATTACAATTTAACAGGAAAGCCTTTGAAATTCAAACACAGCGGTGTAGTAAGTTCAAGAAATTTATGAACACACCTGCTGGATTTGATGGTGATACCAAAAACAAATTATACCTCAGACTAAGCAGAAGGGAGCATTATTCTGTCTATAGCAAAGGTAAGCAAATATGAAGCATCAGAAGAATTGTCCATGTCATGTTGTGCCTTTTTAAAGTTTTAATTTGTAATCTAAAGAGAAAAACTGAATCCTATTTTTAGACTCCTGACAACCCTAATAATTCAGTTGTCATTCTAGAAGGGCAACAAAATATCTCATTAATTCATCTTTTCTTGTAAATATTCAACTGCCTTAGAAAAATATAAGTTCCTTGGGTTTGGAGTGTATTAAATCTGTGAATTGTGAAGCTTCAGGAAAGCCCAGTATTCAAATAGATGATATTTAAGGAAAACTTGATGTAAAAATTAATATTTCAGTAGTTGTTGCGTATCTCTCCTAAATTACTGAAATACCACAAAGTTGGAGGATTTGATCCAAAGTTCAGTGATTTGATCCAGATAGTCTCAATAGTTCATTTTACTTCAGTAATTTTTAAATGATAACCATATCTTCATAGTTTATTAGGTTTGCTGTTGAAAATCATACAGAGGAAATTAAGCAGAAACAAACATATTTGTGCATACTTTATGTACAGACTCTGAAATGTTCTGACAAATCAGGGGTTTGTAACTATAAATTCTGAAGCTCTGCACAGGCAAAACTTTTACTTATGTATGACAATTTGTGATCATTTTTGTTCCAGGCAAATACAATGCACTATTATTGCTCCTAACTTTGAAATCTTGCTTGCTGTGCTCTGCAATGTATGGTATAGGAATAGTGCAGTGAGCTTTATTCTCATCAGGTGTGCCAAATAAAGCAGAACACTTGCAGGCTCCAGTATGTGTTGGCTTTAAAAGGGAAGGGAAAATGTATGTTTATTTCAGTACTTGCTATTCTTTGGCAAAAGAGTGCTTAACTAGATTCGTACTATACTTCAGTGATTTGTTCCCAATACGCTCAAAATTGATAATACTTCAGGTTTGTCAGAAGTCAAATGCTGCTAAGTGTACCAGGAGAGAACTTTACAGTTATCATCAATTTCAAACAGCAAGCACTAGAAGAATTTCAAATTTATTCCTTCTTTTGGAACTGAACTAACACTTATTTAGGACTTTCTAATACCCCCTACTTTCACATTAGCGATGGTTTAATTTGCGGCATAGTAAATGCTGAGCTATTTAATCCAGCTTCGTTTTCTTGTAAAAGATGGCAGTAGAATCAACTTATGAGAACTCTGTATTTTTTTGACAGATGATATTTGGGTTGTTTCGAAGACTCTGAACTTTGATACCCTTGATACTTTCATTGCAAGTAGTGCTTTCTTTGGACCATCCTCCAACAGTGAAGTAGAATTGCTACCACTGAAAGGCTACTGTCCCTCCAACTGGCAATCAAATAGTGAGTTCTGCACCAAATAATTCAAAATTGTGGGAAACAACTATTGAGGGAAAAATCTGGCCAGCAATGAAGGACAAGATTATAATTTCCTTGTATCTTTGAATATGTAATTTGAATATAGTACTTAAGGCAATTAAACCTGCAAAATAGCTGGTAGGAAATTCTAAGTGGGTGATGAAGAAATGTGGATAATATAAATAATGTAGTAAATATAATATAGAATGCAAATTGGCTGTCAGAGTGTAGCTAACAGGAATATGTTGTTACTGTCCTTGAAAGACAAACAAACAGAAACCCCAGACAACTCACTGTGGACAATTCATATTTATATAAAAAGGCCACGTATTAAATCTGTCATTTGGCTGTCCTGACGTTCCTTTCTGTGCCTTTGTTGCTACAGTCTAGAACGTCTAAAAAAATCGGTGTTTCAAATTTCAGGAAAAACAAATGTCTAGTTTCAGTTATTTTCATCATTGTATTTTAAAAAGAAAATATTACTAAACCTAGCACTGATGTTTTTTAATGAACTACTGACCTTTTTATGCTCTAGCAAACTTTTCCCAACTAAGTTGCAGCAATCCTTCTTCTTGGTTTTGATATTTTTGTTTGGGGTATTTTTGTAATATTTTGTCATCAGTGTTTTGGAAACAGTAAGGTTAGTGGGCCTCAAGTGCAGAGAGAAACAGTGTGGATCTGCTATATACGTCACAGAAAAATGACAAGTGTGCTGCCAAATATGATGCAAAAGTTTCTTATTTTTGCTGTTCAGTTGAGCTAGAGTTTTTGGTTTGGGTTTTTTTTTTTGTAAAAGAAAGAGATAAAGAATGCATTACATAGTCGTACTGGAGCTAGTAATAATATACCTCTGCTTACTTTCTTTTAATGCAATATGAAAATTGTGTGCTTGATCACAAAAGGCATTATTCATAGCGCTTAACCTTTGGCAGGTAAATTGGGTGTTTTGAGTTAACAAATTAGTCCTGTTAGGCTTTCTGTGTAATCATTAGGGAGAGAGTTCCTGCAAAGCTCAATTCAGTGAGCCTGCATGAAACTGCTGTTCTGAATTACGTTCAGAAGACTGAAATATACAGAAAAAATATACAATGGCACACAAATTCTTTGCGGGCACACATGCTATCAAACTCATGGGCTTCAAATGCAGTTGGAGGTTTGGTTTTGCTTGTTCCCTGGGTGTGAATTGCAGGACTAGATCTCTCGAGCAGTCAGGGTCTGGAAGAGTTAATACATAGCTTTTCAGTCTTAATGCTGTTGAACCGCGGCTTTTTTTTTTCTTAGGAGATTTTTGGTCCTAACTTTCTTTGTGATCTTAAGTACAGATTATTTCACAATTCTATAACCATTACAAAACTAAAATCCTCAGTTGTATGAAAATAAAGCTTTAAGTATTGTTTAGTTGTCGGCAGTGATAAACAACAGCAAAATAGAGGTATGTGGGTTACTAAACATATTAGAAACCTGTTACTTAGGCAATCAATGAGCCCTAGAACCTTAGGAAACTGCAGTGAATTCAGAAAAATATAACCAAACACTTGTTCTGTTCTTATACTCTCCCCATGGCATCCGGTTTTGTACACCTTGGAAACAGGCTAGATGGAAGTGGAGTCTGGCCCATTAGAGGTGTTTTTCTGTGTCTGCTTAGCTATTGTGATAGAGGTGGTTTACAGACAAAATTCACCTCCTAAATTCCAAAGCCTTCTAAATATCTCAAGTGTTTCTGCAATGAGTAAAGATTTTCATCTAAGCTTCCCTCCCAGAAGGTTCCTAATGTTGGAATCACAAATACTTCAACATAACGTGCCTTGAAAAGAAGGGCTGATAGGTCTCTCCTCATCTGTAATATTCAGTCAGACATGGTAATTGGGTTAACTTGGTTTCTGTTACAGGAGGTTAATTACTCTTGGCATTTGTAATTCATTTATCTAGCTGATTTGAAATTTTGGCTAACTTCATTTTGTCCTGATTTTATTTTTCTGTGGCCTTTTCAGCGTTAGTTCATGCCTTGCTGGTTTGTAATGCTAGTGGTGAGCTTACATCTTTAAGAAATATGGAGGAGCACTTCAATCCATCTACGTTACCACTAATACCACATCTACTAAAAATGTAAGTTACTGTTTCAGTGTTACTGTGAACATACAGTATGTCAATAGGTACAGAAAAAAAAAACCAACAAAAATACCATTGAGTTTGCCCTATTAAAAAGTGGATGAGGAAAACTAAAATCAGAAAAACAGTGCAAGGAACTAACTGTGGACAATGCAATTTTCATTTATGTGGAAATTAAAATATATCAGTTGCTCAACTCTAACTCAATTATAATTTCTTTTTTTAAAACTTACCTGCAGCCCCTGTTTTACTACCTACAGATGAATATTGGGCATTGTTACAACCTTTTAGACTGATAGTACAGTCACTGACTGAGCTGTATTAAGTTAATGTATATGCTTCACAGGGGTTCAGTGGAACTGTTTTTCCTGCCCAATTTTTAGTCACCTGACACAAAGCCTAAAGATAAAATATTTTCTTGGAGAACTGGAGAAATGTAGGGATATTTCCAAGACTGCTTACGATTCACTGCATAAAACAAGTAATTCAATGAATCCCTGCTACCTCTGACCATGTTCTTCTACCACTCTTAATTCTGTCAGTCTCATGACCTTGGAGCAAGTCAGATTGAAAGCATTAACATACAGCAAGAATGATAAAACTCAAAAGCCTGTTTCATATGACTGAGCTTTCACCCAGGAAAGTAAGAAGGGGCACGAATATGCAGCCCAGGTGTATAGCAGGGGGCAGCAACTTTTAATTCTGTCAGCTGTTAATCATAAAGTCACAGCATTTCAATGTCAGGTGAATATCAGAACCATGAGCTACAAAGGATACATATGCAGTATTATACCGCAACTTTTGACCATTGTATTTTTCTCAGGAATTTTCACTCTGAAAATGCTACTAATAGAGTCAACAAAAGAAAATTTATTCCACCTGCCATCAGCCTGAAACACACCATGATGTATGGACCTGTCAGCACTGAAGTGGCAATGGGACTAGCTAAAAAGATGATCCAAACATTCTCGTTGAACCCAGACCAAGCTACATCACTGGTTCAGATAGCTCAGATGATGACCTCATGTGAAAATATCAAACCGGTGGAAGAACATCAGATCTTCCCTATCACAATCATACGTGGTATATAGCAAATCATTGTGAAATTTGCTGCTATTGTACCTTTGCAAAAATGCTCATTACTATGTAATGCCAGTGTTAGTGAAATATCCTGATATTCTCTCAGTGATGAAGCAATAGACTTGTTTCCTTAATCATATGTTTACAATTCCAGGCAGACTTAAGGGGAGATTTTTATGCCTAGGTAAATGTTGACTTTTTTTAAACATAGCAGAAAAGATCAGCTTGAACAAACTGCCTCTATGTATGGAGTATCCTTCTAAACTCTTTCATAACGCTGCTGTCCTCACCTACTTTGGGCATTTCCTGAAAATTCATTTCTTGGATGAGGCCCCTCTGATAATGACCTTGACATTATAACATCCATTCTGTCAGCACAGAGCTTTTAATCCTTGAATTTGCATCCTGCCTTTTGCAGGATTTTACGTAAGTATAGAGTTCTTTCCTAGCAAGATCTATACACAAGATTGGAGTTTAGTGTCGTCTGCTTATTTCTTTTCATATTCAAAACACTTTTTGTCATGTACCAGCTTTGCTAAATCGTATAAAATTTTTTCTATTACACATTATTCTTTACTGTTTTATACTTCCTTCTATCTTTGTTTTACCCCTTTTCAACACGTACAAAAAGGCTAGTAACAGTTCAAAGTTTTGGGTTTTTTTTTTAATCAATACTGATAAGCAGTTACCATAAAGATGTTTTCAGATGTTGTCAAAGTAAATATGTTGACAATAATGACACTGTTAGTACAGATACACTAGACTTAAATTGCCTGAGCTTTTGTTAGGCTGTCAGGCGTATGAATCTGGTTGAAATTATTAGTCATTCCAAAATAATCATCTCTCAAATTCCTTTTTGTGTACCCGGGGATATGGTATGAGAGATGTGCATGTAGATACCTGTGTTATTTTGATGTATTGATGAGACTTTTTAGCAAGTAATACATGTATTCAACAAAAAAATTTAGGAAAAATACCTTAAGGATCCCCTCTTCTGTAGTTTTCTGTAGACTTACTGCAGGCAGTAAATGTGAAGTGTAAGGCAGCCGGTTGCACCTGGATACTTGGTGCTGCTGAAGCAAGCACATGCAATGTATCACAGCGTAGTATTTCATAAGTTATAACAACTGATTAAAACTGTACTTTCTAGAAAATGTTCGCTTGTAACTTTGGCTTATTCTTTCAAAATACCAGGTGTGTTTGGAGCTGGAAAGAGCTATCTGCTGTCTGTTGTGATCTTGTTCCTAGTACAGCTCTTCAAAAGCAGTGAAGCTACAGAGGGTCCAAAGCCAGCTCCGTGGAAACTTCTGATTGCTTCTTCCACCAACATTGCTGTTGACAGGATACTGCTGGGGTAGGTTACTAAGACTGTTACAGACTATTGTTCCAAAACCAAAAATGTACTTACACGGTAAAGATCATTCTGTTGGTCAGGAGCTTTAATTTTACCCTTGCTCCTTCGCACAGTGTGCATATGCTAAAAGACTGTGTAAGGCTAGCTACGTGAATTTGAGACACTAATGGTGGGCCTTACTCTCACCAAATTTGCTGTTAAAATCCATCACGACAGACATCGGGATTGCTCAGGAAGCTTTGGGAAGTAGCAGTAGGGGCAAGGGAAGGAAGGATGGAGAGGGAGGGAGAGGCAGTAAGTGTCAGACTTGGGAAGCTGCAGCGAATACCAAGAGAAGAAAAAAAGTTGTTAGAGGCTAGCATGAAATAAGTTATGGTTTGGAAGGATAAAGGGAGAAAGGGAAAGTACAAATAGAAAGCTATTTATGAGAGGATAATCATAAAGATATGAAGCATTTTTGAGACAAATCATGATGAGGTAATTTACTTCAATTTACTTGAATTGTGGCCTGAGTTAATTCATCTGGTTAATCGTCGAAGTTTGTGCTCTTCAGTGTTCTGATGTGTCTGTTAGCCATCTTAGAACCACTTTTAAATTTCTCAAAATTTCTTTTTACATTTCTGTAACGTGTATCATCTCTTTTTCTTTGAAGTCTACTTGATCTTGGATTTGAGGATTTTATCAGAGTGGGCAGTATTAGGAAAATCACCAAAGCAATTCTTCCCTATAGGTAAGAATCTTAATCTTTGGGGGATCTGAAGTGATTCTAAGATTCATGATAGTATGCATACTGTAAAATTACAATTTTGAAATCATGCAAAATGTGATTGTTATTACAATTGCCTATCTCAAGGTTGGGGTTTTCCCCCCCTACACAGTGGAGAAATTTTACCTTGATATGGGAACGTCACATGTTGCTGAACAGAGTTAATGCTTTTAAATGGAAAGCATTAGAGGAGAACAAAATAATGGCAGTTAGGGATTTGGGAGTTTACACCAGGAGGAGAAGCAAAACAGACTGGAAGTAGATATGCACTGCTGTAGTGATAAGAAATAGGAGGAAGTAATCGTAAATTTAGTGTTCAGAGAATTAATGCTAACAACTCATGAATTCTGTACTACTTACCCAAGTTATCGTTGCTATAGTGTTCTGGGGAGAATTTGTCCTTTACCTACTTAAAAGTAGGCAATTTACATAGTACTTTCAACACAATTTGAGAGAATGAAGTAAAGTTCAAGATGAATAGAGATTAAATTTCCTTTCCTTGGTGTCAGTAGCATACCAAGGGTATAAAATGGTGTAAGAATGAAAAACGCCTCCTCGGTTCTACTCCACTCTGAAATCAGCCGTGTACCTGGAAAAGTCATTTCCTACACGTACGTCTCTGGCTGGGGTGGTAGGGTCTGAGCTGGTGGGATAAAGACCTGTTTTAAAACAGGCATTATACTAGTCTATCTCAACTGGATTCAGGATAGGTTAGTACATTGTTGTAAAGCACTGTTATGTATAAAGTATGATTATTTTTCTATATTGGGTGTTCACTGAACACTGAAAGCACTGTTATTTTCAATCATTGTAATGTGTGCTTATAAAACCTTCTTTTTGAAGTTTACATGCTGGCTCAGGAAATGAAAATGAGCAGTTAAAAGAACTGCTTGCTCTCATGAAAGAAGATTTAACTCCAGCTGAAAAAATATACGTGAGGAAGAGTATTGAGCAACATAAACTGGGGACCAATAAAACTATACTGCAACAGGTACAGCCAAATTGATGGGATGGGAAAGTGGGGATTCGCTATACCTTATCCACAAGGCCTAGCAAGTCGAAACTGGGAATCTCCTCTTACACCTGCCAAGCTCCTACATTTTTGAAAAATAAAATGAATGTTAGGACTTGGACAGGTTTCATTCCACAGGTATAGCTTAGTGTCTGTCCTGCGTATGACTTCCCTGAGTTGAACTTGCAGTTCCTGTTCAGTGATATATTATGAGACAGAAACCCTTTTTGAACTCTATCGCAATCTGACTTTGTATTACCAATCCAGTTTACGAGGTGGGGAGAGAAAAATTTCTGAGCACATCTAGTCTGTACGGTCACCTTGAAACTAAAATTTGTGTGTAGTCATAAAAGTAAAAGACACGGACTGAGCTAAATCTATCCTAGAGTTGAGTATCAACTGCCTTTTCTCTTCAGTCCTAGACTCAAAAAAATCCCAGCTTGTTGTAAAGCAATTACAAGAAAGCAGATCATGGCAATTTGTTTCTTGTGCTTATTCCTAGTGGTCATTGCTGCCACTTTTGCTACTGGAGCTCAGAAAGAAGGTCTGGGAGGATTGTGTAATCTGAAGTCTCTCTGTACCAGGCCAGATCTGGTCTTAAAATACATGAATCTGTGAATGATTCTAACGTATAAACACCCCAAGCATAAGAAATGGTGACCTTGGATCCATCTCCGCGCGTACACCGTGCCTTTTACTGGAGGTTAGAATATAATTTTTGAGACTCAGCGAGTACGACACCTCATGCAGTAGAACTGCTAAAAGTTAATTTAGGTGTATTCTACTGCCGAAGCTATAGTTATGTACTGCACAGAGATTAACTATTAAATCATCTTAACTTTTTGTCTACCCATTTTCCCTTCACTAATGACAAAGGTGAAAGTGGTCGGGGTGACCTGTGCTGCCTGCCCGTTCCCTTGCCTGAATACTCTTAAGTTTCCTGTAGTGATGCTGGATGAGTGCAGTCAGATGACTGAACCTGCTTCTCTCCTTCCTGTTGCAAGGTACAGCCCTCCTTCCGTGTTTCAGCAGAGAAATAAGAGTTAGCAGTGACATAACCTCAAATAATTGCCAAACTTGCACATCTTTTTAAGAACACGAACTCCAAGGTCTCGCCTTAGAAAGCAAGAAGAGTAATTTTAAATTGAGGCCTGCTCTTAGGTGCCTTCCTTGAGTTAGCATGTTATTTTAACTTTGGAAAGAGGGGAAGGGAGCCTGATGGAAAGCAATCTGTGATACCTGAACATAGCACGCGCTTTCGTTATGAATAGTTTGACATCCTTTATAGAACTTCTCTTTTCTTACTTTTCTGACATTGTTGTTCAGGTTTCAGTGTGAAAAGCTAGTCCTTGTTGGAGACCCTAAGCAACTACCGCCAACTATTCAAGGCTCTGAGAGTGTTCATGAAAAGGGGTTGGAGCAGACTCTCTTTGACCGGCTTTGCTTAATGGTATGTACTACTAACCACATCTTTAGAAAAGACGGAGGGTGAAATTGTAGGTCCACTGAAGTCACCAGAAGAGTTCTGGTTTAGAAGTCAGAGGATCGGTGTTTCAGCCTGGTGTTCAATTAAGCAGGTTCCATTCTAGTGCATTTCTCTGTAAATGTTATTTTCACAGTGCATGGAAATTTGTAAGCCTAACAAACATAAAACAAGAATGGATTGAAAAACAATGACAGGTTCTGCCTTCTGATTTTTTTGTGCAGTTTTCAATCCAGGTAGAAGAATTGGGGGTTACAGCATTTGTTCTAACTTTTGTTGAAGTGAATGTATGAAGGTTAAGCAAGTTTACTGAAGGAATTGTTTCCACTTATTTCTTGTTTGGCCTAGCTGGCATTGCAAAATACTTAGTAATTATTTTTCCTAGTCACACTTTCTATATCACAATTCTTTAGGGACATAAACCAATACTACTTCGGACACAGTACCGATGTCACCCTGCTATTAGTGCCATAGCCAACGAGCTGTTCTATAAAGGAAATCTGATAGACGGTGTTTCCGAGAAGGATAGAAGTCCTTTATTGGATTGGCTTCCAACACTGTGTTTCTATAGTGTTAACGGCATAGAGCAAGTAAGTTCTTAAACACTTCTTAAAGTCAATATTGGAGTTTTTCCTCCATTCCATTACTGTTTGCATTCTGCTGATTGTGAGAGCTAAACTGGAAATCCTCTCCCCTATTTCCAGATTGAAAGAGACAACAGCTTTTGTAACATGGCAGAAGCCCATTTTACAGTCAAGCTCGTCCAGTCTCTGATGGCAAGTGGCATAGAAGGATCTGCAGTTGGTGTGATTACTCTTTATAAATCACAGATGTGTAAGGTCTGTATAATGTATCATCAATAAAACCATTTTCTTAAATGTATTTGTTTGTTCTAAACGTAGGCTCCATTTCAACTGCGTAGAGTCAGCTAGAAGTGAGAAACATGCTGGACAGGTGAACTAGAGTTTACCATAATTTCTCTTTCTTATTAAAAAAAAAAATCTATTTTTTTCTCTCTGAAATTAGTAAAAATATTTTAATTCAAACATATGGTTAAAAAAAAAATCCATTTGTTTTCCTTCCACATGCACACTCAGAAAATTGGCAAATTAAGTAGTACCTTAATTAGGGGCTGGTACAAACTGGTGTGTGAGATGAGGACAGGTACCAGAGGCATCTGCTTAGCAGGGCTGGAGTTGTACCTCAGCCAGTCCGTCCGAGGCACGACGTGGGCCGCTGTGGTTCGTAAGCGAAAGCACTGGTTGCCACACTGAATGAATGCATCAGTGTTTTGTCAAATAGAGGTTCACTGAGTAGTATTTTCCTGCGAGTGGCTGAGGTTTTACTGTCATTGCACTCTGTGGTTTCTTAGTCCGCATCTTGCGTGGACTCAGACTCGTTGAGCGTGTTTGCTCAAAACAAACGATTGACTGCGAGTAGCATAACTCATCACCATCCGTCTTCATTTGTCTACAGATTCAGAACTTGCTTAGCAGCGTACGCTCTGAGGCTTTCGAAACGAAAGCTGTCCAGGTGTCCACTGTGGACGCATTCCAAGGAGCCGAGAAGGAGATCGTTGTTTTGTCATGCGTAAGAACAAGGCAAATCGGGTTCATAGACTCAGAAAAGAGAATGAACGTTGCACTAACAAGAGCAAAGAGGCATTTGTTGATGGTTGGCAATCTGGCCTGTTTAAGCAGGAACAGACTGTGGGGAAGAGTAATTCATCACTGCAGAGGTAATATTTTCTTTTCCTGTATTTTTGAAAGCATGGAGCTCATCATCTTTAATTAAGCTATGTATAATACACATCATATACCATAGTGTGTATATTCTATACATACCATGTAATATATAAGGTACATAGTATTCATACTCTATATTTCTTACATCTAAAATACAGTATATCGCAGGAAAATGCAAGTATTTGCAAGAGTGCAAGTTCCATATTTGCAGTTTTATCTGCAAACTGTTTTTATACTTGAAGGGGATTTGTTATCTAGCGAGTGGACTTCTTTTTCTTCTTTTGATGCCATCTGACAGCTGCACAAAGAGCACGCCAGTAAGGAGAGCTGAAACCCATCTCTGCATTTCTAGTCCTTTCCCGGTTTGCTTTTATGTTGTAGACCTAGGCAGAAACAAGTTATAAACAAATTCTTCTGTACAGCGGTATTTCTGAATAGATGGTACTTAAATAAAGGAAAGACAAATGCATACCATCTTTCTGCAACTAGGGGCTCATTGTTTTTGGAAGATAAATTTTGAACTGCTAGGAAAAAAACAGTGCTGTTGGAGATCCCCTAACCCTATCAGGTAACTCCCGATGGCTTTGTTTACAGTTGTCTTGTGAATACACGTGTTTGGTTGGTTGGACCACAGAGGGAAATACAGTTTTTGAAAATCAGTTTTTTACAGTTCCCACATACGTGCTGTGATGTTTACTGCAACTGAGTATTAATTATTTGAAAGCTAATCCTGCTAAAAAAAAAAAAAAAAAAAAACACAAAAGACCTTACAGTGCCTGCCTCCACCCCTTGCAGCTTTGCTCGGAGGTGTTTAAAATGCCTGAACAGCCCCTTAGTTCTGTGTGTCTCTTCCCTCTCTGCAGTACTCATACTCCGGAAAGAGAGGTCATAGTTTCTCCCTTTGCAGGCACTTGAATTTAGCCCCCTTTGAAACGGGACAGTTCGTATCTCGAAGCATAAGTCACATTTCATCATAAATTCTTCCATGGTGATCTTCTTTGAACTAGAGAAGCGAGAGATGGAATAGCATCCAAATCTCTGAAGTACATTCAATAAAGTCTGACTGAATCCGACTCCCCACGCCCACTGAGGCCCGTCCCCTTTCGGAGGGGTAGGACCTTTCCCTAGCGGACGCTATGAGGTGGGGAGTGCTCAGTCTCCAGAGCAAGAAGAGAGCCTCGCTGCAATGAGAGGTGCCAACAGAGTAATCACTTTATTTACCTGCTGGGTTGACATCAAAGGAAGCATCTCGTTAACGGCTGAACTCCGAAGAACAACAATTTTCAAAGTAGAAATATTCCAGCCATTTCCAGGCTTGGGGAAGCATTACTGCAGACTGATTACCCGATGGATGCTGTAAAGGGAGATGTAATGATCCTCTTTATTGCTGCTTTTAGGATGGGAAAACGGATTGCAACATGCAAGGCAGTGTGAGCAGCAGCTAAACAACATTCTGCAGTGCTATTTGGAGAAGCGGAAGGAAGAGGAACAGAACAAGAAAAAGGAAAAGTAAAGCCCGTGCCTGTTTTATGAAGAAAATATGAATTGCATGTCTATAAAAATTATCAGAATGATTGCAAATCGAATATTTATATTTAATGTGGGAAATTTTTGTTTGTATCTCGGTGCACTGATACTTCTGGTTTGACCCCTTGTTTGTATGACTAAAAATGAATAAATTGGCTTTATCTGCTCGATGACTGAAATCCTTTTATGCTTGCAAACTGCCTACTTGTAGTATTAGCGTTTCGCTGTTCTTCAGATTCAAGTAACATCGTATCTTAGGACTACTCTGTCATCTTGCGTTGTTTACAAATCAGTGACACCTAGGAAGGAGCATGGCTAAAACTATTAAAAGGTTAAATAAAACATGGAGTCATTTCTTCAGAGAAAATACGTGTCGTTGGTCTACTAAATCTTTGGATGTCGACAAAACCAAATGAGAATGGACTGACCTGTATCTAGATTTTTTTTTTTAGAGGTTTTAGGAGAAGACCACCCAGCTGTGTTTCAAAACTACAAAAAAGCTGAATGATTTTGGGTTGGAAAAAGAGTGCTGTTGTGTCAGAAACCCTTTGACAAGACAAAAAGTTCTCCATCTTTCCCAGGGCACCAGTCTGTCAGCCGGCTGTCTCAAAGGCGTGGGGAGGAGGCTCAGCCGCCAGCGCACGGACGGTGGGGGGAAGCGGGCTAAGTGTGGGTGTCGGGCCATCTCCAGAGGCTGCCGCCACGCTGCTGAACTTCCAGAGAGGGCTCCGGCACAGGGGAGAGCCTGCCCTGGAGCAGGCATCCCAGCAGCACTGCAGTTACGCAAAAGACTCTTCTGCCTTCTCTTTATGCAGCTTTGAAATAAAAGGCCTGGTGAGCAGCTTGTCACATTCAGCGGTGCCATCGTCCCTCGAAAGGCATCAGAATTGTGGCAAAGGCTGAGCTTCAGAACGCCTGCAGTGTGGGAGCTGACAGTGGGACTGGTTAGCCCTGGCACTGGTTAGTCCCAGGAGAGGGGACACAGGGGAAAGAAGGAAAGCCCATTTTAAGTGAACAAACGGGTTCTTGACAGGGAAGTCAATGTGTGTGGGGTGGGAGCGGATAGGAGCAGGAGCCTTGTTTCGCCTGGTCACCCTCTGGAGGCGAGGGTCAGGGCCGTGGGAAGGACGCTGCCCTGCTCAGAGGGGACAAGTTCTTGGTCCTCTGGTGGAGTTTCTGAATTGTTTCTTCCAACGGTGTTCTGACGGTTCTCGGCTGAGTGAGATGATACCAGATTTTACACAGGTCATGGCTTTGATCCTAGGCAGTAGTGGTTTCCTACCTTGAAAAAACCTGTAGTTTCTGCCTGCGACAGGCACAGTGTGTTCTTCTGGCCATAATCCGATGCCTCCTTGCTGTGTGCCAGAAAGGCCCTGGTTCCTGCGGAACTCGCCTTCCCCAGCGTGGCGTTCACCCCTCGTCCCGAGCCGTAACTGCGCTCCTGTCCCCAAGCAGTTGCAGCTCACGCTGGGCAGCAAGTCCCACCAACCCGTACAAAGACTGTCACCCGCAGGAACCGGAGGGCTGCGTGAGGTCGGCTTCTCTGCGTTAAATGTCACCCCGGCTGTCTGCAATGGCTAAACCTTAAGCCACCACTCGCTGGCTTTGGAAACAAAAGGCGAAGAGCATGGTTTAGTGCCCGCCTGGAGCCCTACCTGTGTTCTTGGCTGTCAGTCTAAGACGGCTTTCTCAGGCTCTTGCCCAGGTGCTTTTGCAAAGGCCGCTTTTGAGGAAGAGCCTGCGGCTTTGTGCTCGTCATTTATTAGATCAACCATAAAAAAAAGCAAGACAGCCATATCCCAGGCTGTGTCAAAAGGAGTGTGGCCAGCAGGGCGAGGGAGGGGATTCTGCCCCTCTACACTGCTCTGGTGAGACCCCACCTGGAGTCCTGCATCCAGCTCTGGAGCCCCAAGCACAAGAAGGACATGGAACTGTTGGAGTGGGTCCGGAGGAGGCCACAAAGATGATCCGAGGGCTGGAGCACCTCTCCTGTGAGGAAAGGCTGAGAGAGTTGGGGCTGTTCAGCCTGGAGAAGAGAAGGCTCTGGGGAGACCTTAGCGCAGCCCTCTGACATATTAAAAATAAAAAGCAGGGGCTTTAGCGACAGGACAAGGGGTGACGGCTGTAAACTTACGGAGGGCAGATTCAGACCGGACATAAGCAGACATTTTTTACGGAGAGGGTGGTGCGGCACCAGCACAGGTTGCCCAGAGAAGTGGGAGATG